TCACTTTCCTCTTCTTTGTAAATTAAACAGTTGTCTTTCAAATTGGTCCTCTAAATTATTATTCCATATATCCTAATTCTTTGGTAAATTTACATAATCTATTTATTGTATTTTATGATTAAAAATAAAGCAAGTCTCATTGACATTCACTGCTGACTTTAAATCGGATTTAAGTCAACTAATTGGTTCGCTTGTCTTTTTATATAGTTAGATGAAATACAGCTAACAGTTTAATTCAGGACACGTGTTTCACTCTATTCGGGACTCGTCAACTGAATGTACCAGCGTCCAGAGTTGATGTTCAACTCAATATTCGAACTCAGTCCCTGAAGCACCCAACGCTTTATCCACTTGGCCACGAAGTCGGGAAAGAAACTCAATTGTGCAACGACTATGAGTTTTACCTTAATATATGGTGGTTTATATGATTTCGTTATTGGTATATTGACGGAATTCTGATAATCCTTAGTTTTCATACGTGTATCTTGTGCTAAGAGCTTCGATCTGACCATCATGTCACAGGTTTTATGGAATAGATAGAAAGTTAGTTGCAGTGGAATCCAGCATCCTCGCTTCATACCTAGTCATTTATAAATTCTCCTACTTATCTATATAACTTCATCCTTAACATATAAACACTATTATAATAAATATGTTATTTGCTTTTCTTGTTTTTTTGTGTCATTCCGAACCAAAGTTCAGTGAATACGGTAGGTAAAATTTTTATACAATAATATTACTCATGTTACTTGAAGACCCAAGCAAGTAATAAGTAACCTTAAAATATAATGAAACAGTTTTATTCTGCAAATTTTGTTTTTTTTTTTTTGTAACTTTATTTCTCATTAACTTTAGGAATACTACATAATTTAAATTAGTTTGTAATACTACTAAACAATTTCAAAATTAAGATAAAATAACCCCCATAATTCCAAACAATTCTTTAACTGATGTCAGTATATGATAAAAACTAACTTCAAATCGAATAATAACAAGAACACGAATGGGACAATCGAATGTATTTGAGTACAAAATTAAAGACTATCTCATTAAATTCTGATAACCATATAGTGAACAGTTAATTTGCAAACTATCAATCAATTGTCTCAATCTTCACTGTTCCTTCTGTAAATATCAGTCCGTTTTCTCTGATTTCATTGTTCATTCCTTTTCTTAACGATTGCGCTTCATTCCTATTTGTTCCTTATCGATTTTCTGCCAAAAAAACATTCTATGTCTGACCATCACTATATACTACTTATGTGAATATAAGTAGACCACACCACATTGGTATATAAATATTACATTTGATAAATACTATGCTAACTTTCATATTATGATCAATATTAGTAAATGGAAATTTGTGAATTTTTATTGTCTAACTCATGAAAATCTAGAAGCACTGGACGACTGTTTTATCAATAACTGAAATCTCATGAAATTTAGGCAGAGATTACTTTAATCAATTAACTTCCAATCACTATGAGAATGTGTGATATTTCTATCAAATGATTTTTTCTCTATACTTGATTGCGAGCTTATTACGAATTCCAAATATAATACGTTCATTTGTGTTTATCTATTCACCTTAAATAACAATATTTTAGAAATTCTTAGTTAACATATTCATTCGAATCCTGTGGTGTGGTCTACTTATATTCACATAAGTAGTGTATGGTGATGGTCAGACATAGAATGTATTTTAGCAGAAGATAGATAAGGAACAAACAAGAATGAAGCGCAATCGTTAAGAAAAGGAATGAACAATGAAATCAGAGAAAACGGACTGATATTTGCAGAAGGAACAGTGAAGATTGAGACAATTGATTGTTATTTTTCAAATTAACTGTTGACTGTATGGTTATCAGAATTTAATGAGATAGTCTTTAATTTTGTGCTCAAGTACACTCAATTGAGCCTACTTGTGTTCTTGTTCACTACAATCCTTCTAATTATCATTGAAAGTTATTTATGATTAGAAATAATTTATATATTTGTACATAAAATTTTTTTCTTTAAAAGTTACTATACAAAACTAATAAAATTCCAAGAACAATTTAACGACCCATAAGAAAACGTTCAATAAATTCTGTTTGTTCAGCTTCTTCTTTTTGTAATGATTCTAATTGAACATTCAATCTAATAATAATAACAATAATAATAATAAGATTTCGTTATTTATTTTCCCAAAAATTTGTAAGCAAAAATGGATTCAGTAGCTGAGTGGGTAACGCGATGGTGTTTGAAGCGAACAGTGCTGGGTTGGAATCCCAGAGTGAACATCAACTCTGAGATGCAGGTACATCCAGCTGACGAGTTTTAAATAAGACGAAACGCGCGTCAAACTGGATTCCACTACTAGCCACTATCCATCTTTGCTTAACTTACAGTTAGATAGAGAAAATAAAAGTAGACAATACTCTGTCGGCTCTTAACACAACAGAAGGTTGAATAATAGATAATTAGTGGTTAGTATAGGAGATTTATTGAGGTTGTTGAATTGTAGTCTACTTTACAAACTGACTGTATACTAGGATGAAACAATTGTCCAGTTTATTTTGGTTTTCAATGGTTGCCTAAGGTTTGATTGTGATATAGATCTTAAATTTCAGAAATCTTCACAGACCTCTCATGATAGTAACAATGATGCGTGCATTAGTGACTAGTTTTGAGAGATAATTTCTTAAGTCCTTTTGAGAGGTTGTAATCAGTAGAGTTCAATACTATGGAGTATAAGATAGTTATCTGCCAACGACGTAAAAGATTGCGATACTATATCTTGAATCTATAAATTTTAAAAATAGGTACGATTAGATATCGACTGAGAGATTTAAAGGTCAAGCTCTTTCTGTGAGGCCCGAATGTCCTGGGTTCGATTCCCAGTAAGATCGGTAATGTGCACTTCTGGGAACTCGCATACTAGGACGAAACATCTGTCCATTATCTGCTCGTTCTCAATGGTTACTAAACTAACGTTAACCTATGATGTGGGCTGTAGAATAAATAATCCAAAATGTGAACTAAAAATAGTCTAGTATCACAACTTACAATTGGATAGTCTAGTTTCACTTATTTATTCTATATCGAGGTAATACGCACAGTATGCACACATGCCAATAAGAGACTGATCAGGTGCAGTCCTAAACATCAATAGGAAGATTCAAACAAGTAATACCAAGTCAATTTATACTTCACCCCATTGCACAAGCAAGTGGCTATCAGGACTCAGTAGCTGAATGGATAACGCGATGGCGTTTGAAGCGAAAGGTGTTGGGTTTGAGTCCCAAAGTGAACATCAACTCTGAGATGCAGGTATATCCAGCTGACGAGTTCCAAATAGGACGAAACGCTCTTCCTGGATTCCATTGCTAGCCACTACCTATCTTTGCTTAAAAATAGTCTAGTTTCACAACTTACAATCGGAGAGTCTAGTTTCACTTATTTTTACTATTCCTTTTTTCAATTTATTATTTTTCTCTAGTATGTTTAATTTGCTTGTATTTAACGTATGATAAATCGACAATATACAATCATATAAATAAATGCACACTGTTTTATATTCAAATGGGACAGTAAATGTCAAGCTATAATAGATAAATTCTTATGGCTATTTTTATCATTTAAGTTTTTTCAATATTCCTTAAAATATTAAACGAATGGCTGTGACTCGTTTAATAGTCTTCTATAAATCTATTATTATTATTATTATTGCTAGAGTAAGTTACTTAATTCGTGTATGAAGTGCAAATTAATGTATTTAGCTTTGAAATATACCAAAAAGTATGTGGATTGGTGATGATACTCAGTTGTGCAAACCAAAATAGATAAGGAGAATATCAAATCTATCACAGAGTTAATAAGTTCCATTAACAATTTAATTAGGCTGATATAGCAGATAAAAAACTTGTTATTATCCGATGACCGGTACAATCCTCGCCCCCATAAATCTTATTATAACAAGCTTTCGTTTAGTTTTAATGAAATGTCGTTCTTATTGATGTAACAAAATGAAGACTGAATAAATAGTAATCCTCAAAACTGTTTTATGGAGTTTTACTGTATATGGTTTTACCAAGTAATTACACAATAACTAGAATACTATGTTTTTAATTTCTGTTTATCGCAAGATTCCATTTGGAAAACAAACTATTACCACAGGTATTACGATTTTTAATTTATGGCTAATCAATCATTCATAAAGTTTCTGGTTTCACTTCCACTATCAGGATGTCTGTATATCATCATAGTTTTCTACTTTGATATGATGCAGTACGGTATGTTTTTCCATAAACTTATGTGCGCTTGTAATATAATAGTAGGTTTGCTGTTGTCTCTTCCTTTCTGATTGAAAGTCGAGGATAGAAGAAGGAATGGGTATAGGCGGATCAGTAGGAATTAAGCTTACACTAGTTCAAGGTTTGTCATTTCAGTCGGATTGTATCACTAGTCAAAACCGGGAACGCTAGATTATAGAAGGAATAGCATACGCAGAGCATTATTATTATTATTTAAACACATAAATATTGGTACAATGAAGCACCAGATAAATATGCGTCTCATAAATCTCATTTGATTTGTGTGAAAGCTGTGATACTGCCCACGTGCCCAGACTGAAGTAGGTGGTTTCCTTAGGGAGCCACACCCGGAGCCTTTGACCTGAAGGTATAGTCCACAAGGCAGTGGAGTATCGTAAGGAGATGCAGTCCCATGGTAGCCAGTGATCAACGATTAGTTCATACGCCATTTATTTCTTCAGGATACTGGAGCCCATGTGCACCATTGGTTTGGAATCAGGGTTTTCCAACTCCCCTAGGTGAACGCACCGTGTCTGTCCACCAACCCGGTTAAAGCGCCGGACATTCGCTTTTCGTCCTCTCAATTTTGTAAACAACAGTAATGCCACAAGAAGGCAGTGAGTAGGACTTCCGTGGCAGAGGCTATATACGCGTGACCATGTGAGAGCATTTCGAGAGTGAGAGCGGAATCTCCCCACTTTCGGCCGTACCAGGGCATTTGGGGGCATACGCAGAGCAGAAAAATTATGATTGCAGTTCTGATTGGTAGATCGAACGAGTGATGTTGACTAACGTTTCAGACATAACACTTATGACAATATTTTCCTTCACAGTGTCCTGATCAAGACTACATACAATAACACAAATATTACTTTGAAAACGAACAGTTGTAAAATTGAAGACAATTTTAATGTCATATAGTAGAGATCCTTAGAACAGTGTTTCGTATCGTTTTGCCCTTTTCATCACAATGTATTTGTAATCTTGACAGAACTGATGCTTTCCGTGGGATGCATCACCCAATCTCGATCGCTTCCACTTTATTACCTCAAACTAACTAAAGAAGAGCACGTGAAATTGATTCATTCAGAGTAATGACTAAACTCGATGAATAAAATTCAACTAACAGTAAGGAATGGACGAAAATGTTACTAGCTTTCACTCGGTGATCAACGAATGTAAATCTAAAATTGCGCTATTTTTACAAATTGTGAGAATTAGGATTGTACGTAATGGAGTGGTTGAAACGATTAAGAGATGTAATAGTTCGGATTATCCTGTTTTTAATATTGACTTAGCTCTGATCAGTCTTAGTCGGTATATGCGCATCCTGTTCGGATCGCCTCTGTCTAGCCATGATATCACAATTTTTTATAGAATGGATACAATGTAACTAACAGCAGAATCCAAGACGCATGTTTTGTCGTAAAACTGACCGAAATTCAGTCAAAATATCACCAGCGGAAAAATTCAAACTACTGAAATTTAATTAAAATTCATATTTGTTGCATAAGTGACTGGGTATCTGGACTCAAGGCTAAGTGGATAACATGATGAGTGTTTGGAGTAAAACGTAATGAGTTTAAAAGACGGAGTGAACATCAACTCTGTGATCCAAGTGCATGAAGCTGGTGACTCTCGAGTAGGACAAAACATGTGTCCAGGATTTCACTGTTAACCATACTTTATCTGTTTTCCAAAAACAACAAGAAGTTTCTGTCATTACCCTTTTCCAAAACCCATTATGTTACCATTTATAGATTATAAAATGCCATTGGGATTATTCAAATTTAATCATAGTAATCCAGAGATATTCGTTAACTGACTTTCTCCAGTTCTTGTTAATAGCATTTTTATGGTTGCTGTTTGTTCATTTCACTATTTTTCTACATTTTCTTGGCATGGGGTTCTCTTGTACTAGTTTTAAACTGCTTTATTTATCTGTTAATAATACCTAAACATCATTTTTCTTCAGGTAAAAACATTTAAACACTACTGAATACTTTTTTGTTAAAGATGTGTAAGACATCGTACAGCCATTAGTCAAGTATAAAATTTTAAAGTCAGGTGTAAGATCTAAGTACATAGAAAATGTACGGTTTAAAAGTCATTATCACGAAGATCTGCTTAGCATCCATATACGTCATTTTTGACAGATCATTTAAAGTAACAGTACAAACCCTTAGAAATAACTTCATACCTGTTGAACAAATTAATATTTGTCTGGATTAGGTAGCAGATATAACGGTAGAAATAGAAATTATTTTCTGTTCGCCACGATACACTGCTATTATATGATAATATGAAAGATTGGTGACCGAGATTTATAGCATCACTAGACTGGATACTCATTTGACATGTTATACACAGACTCAGTCGCGTTATATCAGATACGTAATTCATGTCCAAAAATAGAGAAACAGAGTAAGGGCCAGACAATACTTTATTGAAAACAATTACAAACAGTCTATAATCCGTGAGTCCAGGGTCGAAATCAATAATAAGAAGGAAATTACATACTTAATAGTAGGTAAGCTGGGTCTGTTTGCTCATTCTCAGTAACCAATCATATTTTGCTCTTACTAGCCACACATCAGTAGCATGTTGAATAACATGTGTTATGAGGTGAGTCATGGGTTCGGGTCTCACTGCAAATGTCAATGAAATTATGGTTACAAATGGTGCGGTCCAAGATTCAATTGGTACCCACAATCTAAGTATAATAAGAATAACTCACCTATCTATATCTTTCTTTTTGGCCAATATCTGAGATTCCAAGTGTTTTTGTTGTATTTCTCTTTGCTTTTCCATGGAGGTAAGTAGGTTTCTTGAACCAATCGCCTAAATAAATGTGTATATGAATATTTATTCCTTATTAAAACAAACCTTTAGCTTTTGCGATTCAACTTTTTCAGCTACGGAGCTGATCAAGTTGAGTAGTTCTCCAGTAATCATCTTAAAGTCGGTCATTTCTAGAAAAGAAATTCAAAACGAAGTAAGAGTTTAGCACTGAATATACTAAAATGATTTTATTCTATATTATCATCCATCAGCACTGAACTTGAGATTGAAATAAGGGACAAGTGGAAATATAATGGGAGTTTTTGGAGTTGGTTTTTATCAATAACGAATATTACATTGAAAAGTATTACAGAATAAAAAAGGACGTATAATTTGTTCCAGTTTGAAACTTATTAGAGTAGTTCATAAACCATACAGAGGATTTAACTCAGGACATATATGTTTTGTGGCTGGTATTACACAATTAGGCTAATGAGTGATAGGTGAGTGTTTCACTTTCTCACCCTCAGTTGATTACTATTACTGCCCAATAATCATGCATCATTGTCAATTACATCAGCCTTACTGTCAATATTTTGGTCATGAATCCAAAATTCCATCTCATATATCTTCACTAGTAGCTACACAGTAGATAATTTATTAATAAATTGTGAATGTTTTCAGGTTTTAACGTTAATGAAGTGAATGAGTAATGTGGAGGAGTTTGAGAAAAGAAAGAAACAAATGTTCATGATTCCTAAGTTTCCAAATGCTCTTTTGTTAATGTCAGTTTGTGACGAGAACTCGATTAAAAACTAAACAACCCTCATTTCAAAACAAACCCATTGATGTTAAATACTAGTTCGTTAAAGTACCTTCTAATTTCAAGTTATCATAAGGCTTACAAATAATGAATAGTCAACACATATTTCGACTGACTTTGAAGCTACTTTTAGAATAAGTTTATTTCAGGGAATATAGTGATGTCGTATATGTTATTAAGTTTATATGTGAAATCGGTTTATATTTTGGCAAGGAATTGTATAGATTGAACACTGACAGATCAACTGTTATCGACATCTTCATAAAGTCAATTGAAATACCAGAAAATAAGCGCTACCAGAATAACCATTACACTTTAACTTGTCCTGGTTTTGACACCCAATCTTAAAACTGTGCCATTATATATATATATATTGAAACATGATGCGGATTTCTAAAAAGTTAGTGATTGAAAAGAGAATCTTTAAAATGATATTTTGAGTGAAATAAAAATTTATTAGACACAGACACATTTCGTTTAATGTTTTTCACGAGGAATTTAGCTAACAACTAAATATAGGTCTTTAAAGACCACCAAATGCATTTTTCTACGAACAAAAAGACTTTATTTGAAACCATATTTGGCTAAAGCAAGATCAAGTGAAGGATGATATATCGGACACAATTAGGAAATTGAATTCAAGACCGTACTTTTCTATATTTTTGAGAAGACAAACGTTTTTCTGTGTCCAGACAATATATAATGAAAGAGTTTCATATCATTGCCAATACGAAACGAATCAATTGAAGTTGGTATAACCCTGAACTAACTAACGAAATCTTATAAGACTTCTGTGCAAATTCCTAGAACACCAGTTACTTGTTTATGTGTATTTTTAATACAGATTCGAAAATTTTAAACCTTATCTGGTCTTTAAATTTAGAAATTTCCAAAGACAAAATAAATACATATATGCGGTCAAGGAGAACGTACTTTATTCATCGTCAGGTACTCCTTTAAAAGTATGAATCTGTCACTGACACACGTTCAGCAAACGCTTGATAAAACGTCATAACAGTTTGATTTTTAGGAAAAAATTTACCATTTTCTTAAAATAGTAATCTCACATATCTAGTTGATCAAGCTATCCTAGAGAAACTGTACATGAGCATTTAGGGAACTTTGTGATATTTCAAGAACTTTTTAGTATTATGTGAGTAGTAGTATAACATTGGAGGTCCCAACCTGTCTATAGATGTTACTCGTTGTTTTCAGTAATTAACCTACCTGGTAGCTCAAGATTTTCTCACAAGACTATAGAAAATGGTGGCATTTTTTAAAATATTACCTACATTCCGCGAAGTAACCAATACCATATTTTTTGATATCACTATGACAGCAAATAATGGTGAAAAGTAAATGATTCGGACGATTTATTACGCCTGAAGGTGGCATCGATTGATTTATTTTATTAAATTATTTAAAGATGAGAAGTCCATCACCAACACTAATTAGTATGCCGTAACGCATAGTCCGTTGCTGAAATATAGGTTTTATCTGTCCACTTAAGCGATTTTGTATTGAAGCCGTTGTATAGTTTACCGCAGATTTTTCTGAAGACCGTAATATCGACACATCTACCAATGTAAAGATATATACGTTTGGGAGCATGGAAGCAAAACTAGGGTCCAATTTTCAAGATCACGTGAATGACTTGAAGTGTTTTAAACAATAAATAGAAACCTTTGCCTTTTACGTCACTATTGTACCAGATCAACGTATTTTGGGTCAATCCCTCTTACATTTGTGGCCACAACATCGTTTAGTAGTGATAGTAGAACAAAAAAGACGATTCTTTCAACTGTCATGAAGAAAGGTCCCCTATAGTGCATTTCAGTGATAATTGGCTGACTTTACCTACTAATTAACGAGGAAGTTTAATTATAATGACTAGAGTTTGAAAGTATTAAAACAGTTCATACTTGAAAGGTACTTTTCACATTCTTCTTTGAGTTCGTTTGTTTCTTGAGCGACTCTAGGATCAACTATTCGAAGTTTATAAAAATCGTCAATATATAATCCAGCCTGAGCTAACAATTCAGCCATAGTATGTGATATGTTCAGCTCAGTCGGGTCGCTGAAATAACGCCAAGCCTTCTTATGAGGTTCCAATACTCAGCGGTTTGTCCCAACCCTGAGAGTACTTTGTCTGCAGTGGGGAGCGTGAGAATAACGTGCGTACGTAAATCTGAAAGCAAAGACGACAAAATTTTTGTGAAGATACAGTAAGCACACATGATCTACTCACATTAAATGAGAACAGCAAGCTACAACAGCTAGAGGTAAGACTGGAGTGAGGTGAATACAATCTAGTGGTTTTGGTGTACAATTTCAAACGGGTTGCATGTACTCTATATTTGTAACCATGCCGACCAAATATTTAATTCCCGGTTTTCGATGTACAATACCCAATGCATTCACTATCTGTTTAACGAGCTAGTATAACTCAACTGGTTTTCTCGTCCGTGTTTCAACGTTACGGCACAATTTTAAGTCTCCGAGATAGTCTGACATAAATAAACTAGACATTCGGATAAATCCCCTTGTGAATCGCAACGTTAGATAGTAAGTAAGTATTATCTCAATAACTTTGGGTGGTTAGTTTGTTGTATAGCATTATTATACTGTTTCGTACCTTTCTGAACTATAGATATTACGATCTCAGATGATGAAGTTTATGTATTTAGGGTTTATTCTCTGCTCTGATACTTAATGTATTGCACTCACTCGTACCTACTCCAAAAGATTCAAACCACTTTTATTTAGAGATAATTCAGCTATGCTGTGAGCTTCAAGATTATGACAAGTGTAAGTCCTAATTGGTATCGGAACTACGGACTACAGAACCAACAGAGTAGTGCAGGTAGGGGACTTTCGTTGAAGTTGAAGACTGAGGATCAGATTTCTCTGGTTTAGTCAAAGGATTTCTTCTTAACTCAAAGTACACTCAACAGAACCACAAAAGTGCGTGGATAAGCATAAACTACTGGTTGCGCTGAGTTACTGTTGTGTTGAAACGTCATTAGACCCAGTTACAACACAAATCGCATTTCAATTCGGAGTCCCTGTTTATAATTAATGAAGAACACGTGATATGGTCATCATTTATGCATTCTCCTCTCCCAGCAGGCGAAGATTTCGAGCGCTTAAATTAAAATCAATTTTTTCTGCTTTCCTTCAGTTGGTTAGGTGAATACCTGGAAGCAGAAATCTGCATCTATGTATGACCATTGTCTAATGCGGTGCATTCATTAGGTGTTTGAATCATGTGACTAGTATTGTGTCAGAGGTGATTTAAGAAAATTGGTTCTGGGTCTCTAACGAGTCTATGGAGCCTGTGGATCTTGTAGAATCGTCTTCGTCCCACGTAGAGGGAGTTGTTTAGAGCACTAATGCCGTGCACATTGTTTGATGAACAAAACGGTGTAAAACGATATTTATAAAAGGAATAGTGAACACGGATTACACAGGTTTTAGGCCTCAGAAAAATTTAGAACAATGATACTGTATCCAAATTTTTCAACGTCTGACTTTCTGATGGTTACAGAAGCAGTTCCGTAAATCCCTTGTTTGTAAGTGTCTTAGACAAGGGATGCTTGAGTTCTTGAAAGTTTCAAGGGACTTAGTTATGAGTCAAGTAATCCTACCACATCCTTGACGTGCTAGGGGCTGAAAGTTTTGCCATCTTAGTTGGTATACAGGCATAGGGAACGAAATAGTTGTTTGTGGTACAGCTGAATATTCTGTAACCGATAATCTTGAGTTGTTAGCTAGTAACAAATATCATTTCAGACTAAAATAGTGACTCTGATGATTGAGATATGGATATTTGACATATTTACGCTACCAATCTAAACAACATCAAGATCAAGCGAGTGGTACAGCCGAATAAAAACTTATTGATTGAGATCGAGGATCTATTAATATATTGTTCCTTACCACTTTTCTAGAAAAAGTCCCTTGCAAAACGCCAATATTAAGGTTTTGTTAAGCCCGGTAATGAAGAGATAACCGGTGAGACAAAACGAGATCAAAAGATTAGAGTCAGAATGAATAAAAAAATCTGTGTTCAAAGCCGAAACAGAACAAATACATTGTATATCACTTAAAAGGCTTGATGAATACACTAGTTTATAGCAACTCTGAGTGGTCCCAGAACAATCCTGACAGGAATAGCATTACCAATAAATTTATAGCACCAATACAAAGAAGAATCTACATTATAAGGAACCAAACATCGACGACAAGCAAATGACGAACTTAGGGCTTACGACTGTATCAGGAATGCCATAATTAACTTCAGTAACCCTAGGAATCATAGCAAATATCCTAGAGACCCGAATATTCCGGCCATAAATTGCCCTCAAAAGATACATTTTTTAAATGTCTCGTAATAGAAGTCTCACTTTTCTGACCCCAACGTCACCTGTTTTTTTAGGCCCAACGACCAATGTCATGAGTTCAAGAAGCATTTATTCCTTTCTATCGTCTCCGACATGTAAGATGGGAACATGTTTCAACGTCAATAATTAGCTATAATGCTTAAGGTTTTCCTATGAAACGCGATATATTCCCAATGATTTAAAGTCACCGTTACTGAATTTTGTATCTGTTCGCAAAGCGTGCTGCATTCACACATTTCCCCAAATTTTCATCAGTAAAACGACGGGTGATTAAAACTCAATTCTATCCAGGTTTCACCAACTGATTGTTCTCGTTTCCGATCAAGGGCAACTATGGAATTCATCAAAAACATCACATTCATGAACTTCGCGTAGAATCGTTAACAAGCTTCGATTTATGTCCAATTACGGACATTTACGGAGTTAAGAAGTGCATTTTTCTGTTTTTTTTTTGTCTTAGCTTAGAAACCCTAACCAATCGACTTAAGAGCATAATCGTCTTCGTTGATCCATGGAGATTAGTTTCTTAGATTTAGTAAAACTCGCCTACTGGCACCAATACAGAAATTAAAACTCAAACTCTCATGGTTACTGTTACCTAGTTTGGTGTGTCGTTAAGTTCTAGAATGTCTTCCTCATAATGAGAGAATATGAGGTCAAAAAATTATCATTATGAGTCCGAGTGCTTGTTACAGGAAAAGTGAAGACATCAAGGCGATTAAAATCTGTCACATTGAATATTAATAATTTCACTGTGTTTTCGAACGCATTTGTTTTACTCAACTTCTGAACTTGTTTGTTTATACCATGGACTTCGGACATCTTGATTTCTATTTGTCTTTGGTTTAATATTTGGGAACTTTCGCTCTGAGGACCTAGAAAATGGAAGGCTTGTTTTGTAATTGTTACACCCATAATTAGAACGATATTTGAGTGGATTATTTGTAATTTGCGAATAAACTTTGGTGCTTGAATTGGAGTTTGGTTCTATTATTATTTTCGGGTTCGTAAATTACAAGTAGATAGACATACAGTACTTCAATGACGCGAGAGCAAAATCTCGGATGTAACAACGTTTTTCAACTTTGGTTTATTTTGGATCCCTTATATTTTGAATTTCTTCGAACGTTTATTTTGCACAAAACATTATTTCTAGGTGTCAATTTACTCGAATTCCTTTTGGAATAACTTAAATTTGATTTAATATACCTGACTTTATGGAACGAAGATATACTATAAGGAAAAGGTCGAAGGGAAATGGAAGGTGAGATTCCCAAAGCTGTCTGCAATATGCATGTCGTTAACGATGATAAACGCCATGATGTAAGTCTTATTTGTATGAATTCTGATTGACTTAGTTCATCGAGACTTAAGTTAGGTATGACATTGCTCAGAGGGAAGAAATAAAAAAAGAGACTTGAATTAGAAAGGCAGCTTAAGATGTTAGATTACTAAGAGGAGGTTGATGATGGTGAATTATAATGCGAGTTTATGGAGGAAGATAACCAGCTACCCATGGGTGAGATAAATACTAAGGTAAAAGGTATTCGGATTGTAATGCTGGCTGTTATAACCAGTCAATGGAGCCATTCAATAGTTCAAAAGGCGATTGGTTTGGTGAATTAAAGGATACATTGCATACTATGGTTAGTAATGTGGTTTTACCTACGATTGATATGATGTATTTTGATGGACAACTGGGTCAATACCACCGTTTAGTTACTCGGCTTACATTGTAGAGAGTAAATTGTTCGATAAAGACTAAATGTTGTCGTATCGGTTATACCGTCGTAAAGAAAGGCCAGAATAGTTATTGAAGCTAGCATTTACTTGCCTAGTCATTTCAGTTATGACAGAGCTAAATAAATTTCATTTGACCTATTTGGTGAAAAACACCTTGCTACTCGCGAACTAATTACTGAGTTGCTCAACCATAAATCTGTTGAACGACCAGCCGATAGTTTGAATGAATTTGCAATTAAGCTACGTAATGTATGTATAACATTTAAGGAAATGAAGTATATGAGCTCTACAGACAATCTGGAAATAATAATGTCACGTCTACAGCTGTATTTACTAAATAAGTGGATGGAAGTTTCTGATAAAATAATGATGGCCGATAAGGAGCCGACTTTTGAAGAATTGGTGGCCTTTATGGAAGAAAAAGCCAATATCACTTGGACACGTCACGGCAAGTAAATCAGCCAATGTTGTAATTTGCGACTTTTGCTTTGGTGATCACAAGATTTCAGATTGTACAAAGTTATCAGAAGTGAATGTACGAATAAGAAGAAAAGACGTAAGGACATGTGGTCTACGCCATCTGTGTTTGAGAAAAGGTCACATATCTAAAGTGTGTGATGTTGAAAATTCCAAGGTTTGGCACAAATTCATTCATACATATTAATGGCGATAATAAACATGTGATAAATTTCGCTAAGGATGGAGATTCATCAAAGGTTTGTTTGGGTATCATTCTGGTAAGACTGTGGGGCTCCAAAGGAAGTTCAGAGACATACGCCCTTCTAGAAGGTGGCTCTGATATTCCCCTATTATATGACGAGTTAACTGATCAGTTGTCCATAAAAGGTAAAGAAGCTTGGATTGTGAATGGTAATAATACCTGAAAATGTCTAGGAGTAAATTTAGAGAGGTTTTGTTTGAATGAAAGGGGATCTGTATTGATCAATAGAACTTGTTCGACCAAGGGGTTTTCAATCGATTGCTCAGAACCCCTGACCGAACAGCAACTTGAACTGTGGAAGCATTTGAATGATATAACCCACTAAGGTTGCGAAGTAATCCGGTAGGAGTCTTGACTGGGTGCGATGTTCCAGACGCACATTGGGTTCTAAAACAACGTCTGCAAGACAGATAGGTCTTGCTCCGTGCATGATGAAATGATGAGCCAGTCAGAAGGGGCCCACTGAGAAGGTCAATTGAAGGCAATCAGAAATGACATACAGGATAGATGTACCAGGTTGGCTTAGTAATAGATTAATTTGCAAAGGGGTGGATTCGTTTATATATAGATGAGTATTTGTGCATTTTGTTCGGTAACCCAATATGCTTTCTCTCATTCTTGTATTCTCCCTCACGTGGTTAGTCGAGGGGTTAGCACGTAGCATGTTGTGTATCAGTATCATATTTCGAACATCACCCATCACTACTATCGATTTTACACATCCTACTTTGACGAAATTTATTGTCAGTAATAATTAGAGGGATACTACTTTTCATCAGTGATGATACTCATGGTATGCAATAATAGGTTAGTTCACATCTTCCTATTCTATGCTACTGTCCAGTCGTAGTATACCACGTTACTATTCTAGAAAGCCTTATCACGCTGTAATTGGATGGAAACTCTTCGGCTCCATTCGGGCCTCTGGAGGTTTCGTCATAATCCTTGAAAGCTGTCCCAACACATTTAAATTGCTTACCTTCACACACAAAGATTGTCTCCCTAAGAATCACCACTATCGCAAGATCCCTTCCTGCAGCTTCTTTTCTCAGCCTCATTTTTTCCGGATTTTTGCTTTCTATACTATCAATGATTAACAAATGTTTGAGGAAAAACACTTAATATTCATAGTAAATTTATACGGCGTGTCAATAAATCCCTTTCATTTTGTTGAGTTTGATTATCATTTTATGTAGAAGGGTTTGATCTTTTGAACTCACTACCCTACTCCTTAACCAATAAACTTTAAAAAGGGTAGCTCACAACTCATTATGAAGTTCACTCTCCTGTATTATTTTCAGGATTGTTTATCTAACGAGTTCATAGTCACGTTACAAAATAATGTAAAAGTAACGTTTGGGTTATTTGAAAGCATTAAAAGTAAGTTTTTCCTACTGAAAGATTCCATATGTTATCAATTTTGTCCTAATTTATCTCGGTTGAAAATAAATTTATGAATAAAATCAATTCGAAAATTAATATTGATAAAAGACAGTTTTCTCATTATACTGGATTTTCAATAAAATCGGCGTATTTGTATTGTAATAGATAAATGCACGACCATATAAATTTTGGCAGAGAAATTAATTTTATTTCATCTCGCGTTATGGCTGTCGTTTTTTGATCGCATAATATTCAGTGAACATCTGCCTATACATTAAAACTGTCCACCAGTCCTACGTTCAATTTTAACTTAATCGTAGTTTATGCACTCTTTTCATCATGAAATTATACGTTTATAAGACCCTTAGTATATGTATGTATTTGCATGGATATAAAACCCCTTATGTATGCAATTCATTACCAATAAGTCACTGTTCCACATTGAATGCATCGTTACACTTTTTGATCCCTTTATTTCTGTGTATTATGATAATGTTTGGTTCAAATTAAAATGTCACTATTCATTTTATTGACGATTTCGATTTTATAATCATACCTTTGTTGTTTTGGTAAGCAGAGATGGATAGTGGCTAGCAGTGGAATCCAAGACGCGTTTCGTCCTGTTTGTGACTCGTCACCTGGATGTACCTGCATCTCAGAGTTGATGTTCACTCTGGGACTCGAACCCAGTACCCTTGCTTCAAACGCCGTCGCGTTATCCATTCGGCCACTGAGTCCTGGTAACCACTTGCTTGTGCAATGGGGTGAAGTTTAAATTCATTTTAGTATTGTTTGTTTGAATCTTCCCATCGATGTGTTAGGACTGCAACTGGTCAGTCTCTCGTTGGCATGTGTGTATACTGTGCGTATTGCCTCGATATAGCCTTAATTTTTGTTTTGGTTTTACCAACCGTCTTAACTTTACTTCACATAACCCTATATATTGTGGGTTATTGTTTTTAAATTCCTTCATTTCAGAGATATATGGATTACATCCGTTTCCAATCATAAGAGCATGTAATAATCAGTTACATGGAATAATATGCATACGTTTCGTTTAAAAATTAAATACCCAACTAAATAAGACTAAAAATGAAAGAAAAAACGAAGTGGATACGTTAAAACTGATACATTTGTAGCTACGTAGTGAATACATTATTCGTAAAGTATCAGAGCAAGTGTACAATAGTTGCTACCGTAATGGAATGTTTCGTATTTTGACTATACTTCACATTTCATTCATTTATTGTTCGTTAAAGGTACGGGTTTAATTATGCGACCGGCAAACAAACTAGTTTTCAGTATTTTATCATAAACATAACAAATAAATGATTCATTAACGTCAAAACGAATACTGGGAGGAGGTCTGGCACTTCTGAGACCAATACCCATTACTGTTGTAGCTGCTGCCTCTACACCATCTTCATTTACTTTTAAAGCAACACTTTGTTGAAGAACTTGTACATGTACTTTAGAATCCGTAATTCCTACAAATTAACAACAGTCAAATAAGAAAAGACTTCAATAAATTGTCACAGAACTTAACACAGTACATTAGGTTGTGGTCATTGAATAATGTCTGCAAAAATGCTTCTTAAAAGATTGCTTGCTAAAAAATAAAATCAACAAACTTCGTTTTGTGCTGTACTAAATAGGTATTAAAATTGTATACACTACTCACCTCTAAGATCTGCTTTAGCAGAATCAAACAAATCAGTGATATACATGTTTTTCAATGTTTCGATAAGATCAATTGAGAAATCCAATCGAAATTTCGGTAAAGATAAAGCGACTTGTTTACTTTCAAGTTTACTCACTAAATGAGGTAGTTTGATTTCACCACGTAATACATTATCGGCATATTCGAGTTTTCCCGGTTCAGTTGGCAATATCACAATAAATGAAAATCGTGGATTCTAAAATGTTCAAAACAGAATGGTAAAGCCATCACAAATTATTGCAAACTTGAAAATTACGTGATGAAGAACAGGGTAAATTGACAGTATGGTATTTTTTTTTAAAAAAAGCAATAGTTAATGCATTGCTTCCTAACACTAGAACCAAATAGCATTGTGTGTGATGATTTTTAGTGGGAAATAAAAAAGGTCTACCGTTTGATATCAGTATGAAGAGAAAAACACACTGACTTTAGTTAGACGAACGCCTTTCTATACAGATGAACGACGAGAGGACAATGTGCAACCATCAGTAAAATTATACAAAGTTGCATGAAAACTGCAGAATAAAACTAATTCAGACTCATATAAATGAGTCTTCGTCGAAAAGACTCCGGTTTGATAAAGGAAAAACAGTTTGCTGACATTGAAATATTCGAAAACCATGTAAAGACGATGTACATATATATGTTTCATTATTTCCGGAATACAAATTTTCAGTTTCACCTATCTGTGTCTTGACTGGCCACTGAGTGGTGTAAAGTACCTACGGAACTTGGAACGACGGTGAAGTTCAACATAATAACATATTTGGGTTCGAAATCTAATTATTAATTTTGTATTATGATTTCAACTTGTATTGAAAATGACTCTACATTGACTAGGCTCATTAGAAGAGGTGAAGATTATTCGAGCGAGTACTTTTCAAACATCAAATTATTATTCCATAGATATAAAACACTGACAACTAACCATTTCTGGCCTCTAGTTTAAATTGAAATTCGGAAAATTTAACAGTACATTATACCTACGAATAACTATCAGAGTTGAGTTAGTTTCCAATTCAGATTTTATAACTTTCAAACCTACTGGACCCTTAATTTTGTATATTCAGCATTTACTGTCCGGGAATTGAAAAAAGCATTTTCGTCATTCTTACCATGAATGATTTACTAATCATGTGAATTTTGTATTTTGGGAATAAACCGTATTCAATGCTATCCATGATGTGCATCATCGGTATTTTTATTATGGGTTGATTGTTCGGTTTGAATTCACCTTCTGTAGTTGAATGGTTTGAAAACGGCTTTTTCCATTTTCCTACAACCAATAAATTATGGAACTGAGTAACATACATAATGTCAATACATACAATTCATATTCCCTGTACGTTATAATGAAATGAAAATCACAGCCTGAACACTAATGTACAAGATTATCTAGCGATAAGTATTCAGAGAGATAAGATTCATAAAATATAAAAAGACCGTTTGAATACAGGTTATTTACTCCGGTTCTATTTGTGCCATTGTCTAACAAGGGCAACAATGGGTAAAACTTTTAGTGAAACTAATAACGACCATTGTAGTTTGCCGGCTACGGTGTTCTGATTTCGCTAATAAGACTGAAAATGAGAAGCATTGTCTTAACTAATGTCCAACATTACACAAGACAACCGGCATACAGTAACAAAATCTTATCAGGCAAATATTGTTTTCTGGATTAATTATACGCTTATCTTGTTGAACTCTGGGATTAAATTAAGTCTTCTTCATGAAAATATGAATTCCTCGAAATAATCATTCATCAAATTAATATTTCACAAACAGAATCATCTGTGTTAACACTCCTATTCATATTACGACATTTAGAATTAACCACTCAGTTAACAAAACAAAATATCCATGTTCTCCAGTTTAGTTGCATTTCAAAATGATTGATATTATTCACCAGTGAGATCAATTCGTGTTCACTTTAGAAATGTATAAAGTCATTTGAATGAGTTTCACAAGTAAATGGGTAAAATATTTTTTGATCAGAACAGTTCTCATCTCTCATATTCTGTTTTTCGTTAACATTGAAGTGTAGTGTGTACTGTAGTTGACTTATTATCATCTATTCAGTCATGATAATGTGTACATGTGTATACATGAAGTTCCTGATTTCGTGTGCTGTATGCAGGAATGTGAGTGTGCATTACTGAGGAGTTCCATACCATGCGAAATGACCGTACAGTGATTCCAGGATCCCAATGATGCTCTAGCATACAAATACTCTTCAATTCAACTGTTAAAATTACTACAATCACCACAAATCCCCTAACATGTATAACTGTAAATCATCATTAAATCCTAATGTAGATTGATGTTTTAACTATCTGGTAGTGATTTTTTTATTCACAGTGAAAATGTTTGAAGTATGTATGGAAAAGTGTAAACTTATATAATTTCACAAAATATAGGTAAATTTGTAGATAAATTGGCCCCGAAATACCCTGGTACGCTCGAAAGTGGGGAGATTCCGCTCTCACTCTCGAAATGCTCTCACATGGTCACGCGTATATAGCCTCTGCCATGGAAGTTCTACTCACTGCCTTCTCGTGGCGTTACTGTTGTTTACAAAATTGAGAGGACGAAAAGCGAATGTCCGGTGCTTTAACCGGGTTGGTGGACAGACACGGTGCGTTCACCTAGGGGAGTTGGAAAACCCTGATTCCAAACCAATGGTTCACATGAGCTCCAGTATCCTGAGGGAACAAATGGCATATGAATCAATCGTTGGTCACCGGCTACCATGGGACTGCATCTCCTCACGATGCTCCACGGCCTTGTGGATCAGACTTTCGGTCAAAGGCTCCGAGTGTGGCCCCCTAAGAAAACCACGTGCTTCGGTTTAGGCACATTGGCAGTATCACAGCCCTCACATAAATCAAATGAGATTTGTGTGGCGCATGAATATCTTGTGCCCATTTGTACCAATATTTATGTGTTTAAATAAATAAAATAAAATAAGATAAATTAAACTTCGAGGACATCATTAAATAATTCGTAAATCTATGATTTCTTCATGATATATAAATATAAGTGTAAGAGCGCACAGTCAGCTAAGCACAATAGGTCACCGTTATTGGTTTTAAAGTGTTTGCATTTTTTCGGATCTAGGTTATTAACATATAAAAATGAACAATAATCTGCAATTAAAATTCTTTCGATCGTGATTCGAGAATTTTCGACTGATATCTTACTATCACTCAGACATAGAATTGTCGGATTGCACATCGACAGCACAAATTAACGCAAATTAAACTGCATAGCATAATACACATTAATTGCATTTATGAAAATCTAGCTCAATTAGTCATTTTCAATTTATGTCAAGTTTATCCATAGTAGCTTAGTTTCGATAATCAGTTATGAACGTTAGTAACAGGACTTCTCATTGAAAACTGGCATTTATCAAACTGGAACATTTTATGTTTGAGTTAAATCCCCTTTATGAATCAAAGTCATTTTAAGCTTGGAGAGAGATCAGTAATATATTAGAAACATGATGAGTAATGTGACCTGTATCAAGGATGATATTACGATATTAATATTTTAAATTGGTAATGAAGGACAATCGAATTCAACACTAGAATCAAACGTTTCCGGGTAAGGAATGCAGCTTGCTTTTAAAAAGCTTTCATGGTTCGTACAAATATACTCTTACTCGTTCTCATGGTGAGTAAAGTTCACTCTGATACATGAATAATAAGACGATTATATTTACTATTAACATCAGAGTTATAAAATATTCTGTAAGATGATTTATTAGAATTTAATACAATTATTAATTAACAGAATTCATTCCTGATTATCATGTTCCTAGGAATTTTTCTCCAGTCAAGAGAAGTTGGATTTTGTATAGTTAGAGGTTTAGTTAAATACAAAATTGATAATTACGTAAGTAAGTAATAATGAAAGAGCGAAGAGACACTGAAACTATTGTCTTAAGCCTTCGCCATGATTTACACCAATAGTAATCCAAAGAAGTGGGTTTGATTTTTAAGGTTTCTTTTAGAATATCGTTGATATTTGTTAATATATCTCTGATATTTTGGCAAGTGACATGTGAACTTGTTACTAATTGCACTACTGTGATTTTAGTGGAGTAATTTCGAAAGACCAATAGACCAGCTGATCTAAACAGATTTAGTGAGTTGTTTTTGTTTAGTAATACATTAAGAAATACTATTTCAATGATCAATTGTTGTGCGTATTAAAAGTCATTACTTATTGAACCTATATAGGCTTTGTATTTGAGAACCTTATTCCAGTATTAATTAAACAACAATTCAGAACTGATATTCATTCAATAAGTCAATTGAAATACAACCTCACATCCATAGTTTTCATTTGAAATAAATATTCATTAAATAAAAAGTTACAATTTGTAAGTGAATAATTAAATTATATCAGAAGGGGTTTTGTGGAGATTTTAGTAATTTTACAGTTCAATTCATGAGTTCATTGAAGCCAGACCACCATGAAAAACCTAGAAGTACCGGGTCTGTTGTGTGAAAGTAACTCACTCAAGACAATGGTGGACAGTTGCTCAATTTCGTGGATCGGTTGAAGCTATACATTAACACCGTGGGATGCCGGCTCAGTGGTCTAGAGGTTAAGCACTAGAGCGCGAGACTGATAAGTTCTGGGTTCGAATCTTGCGAGGTAGGATCGTGGATGAGCATTGATGAGGAGTCTCATACTATGACGAAACGGCAGTCCATTGCTTCCAGGTTTTCCATGGTGGTCTAGCTTCAATTGACTTATGAATTTAACTATAAAAATTAAATTATACTTTTTAAATAATTCGTGAACCATCAATCCAGAAATCATCAGGATAATTGATATTTACTTTCATAACACAAATTACAGTATAGTTCAAAATCGACTAAGGGATTTGTTGAATGATTCGTTGTATTACGACAACCATCTATTTTTGCAATGTTTAACATCTAGTATTATCGATTATTTTTTCTGTCCATACTTAGTATGTCAGTGATGCATATAAGAGTTTTACTTTCATTGAAGACTCCATTTCAATCAGCTCAAGCTATTTGGTATGTCTTCTATAAACAGTGAATCCCAACTTGTATGATGAAAACAATAAATAAGGTGATAGGGATTGAAATAAAGTTCCCAAAGAAAATTATACTACGATGAATCAATTAGTAAACGGAAAAGTACTAAATGATTGTACACATATTGAACACTAGAAAACAGATACGTTACAAATCCAAGGACATATATCCTATCCACATTCCTCTATAAATTGAACTTAAAAATGCTATTGATAGATGTTGAAATACAAGCAAGAAACTAGATTTGGAAAACAAAGATTTCGATTATATTTTTAAAAAGCAATAACTACAACTTGGTGAACTAGGTAACAGTCATTTAGAATCACATAAGGATTTAGGAATATTAATAAAAGTTATTAACTTACCTTTAAAGTATAAAGTATTGATTAAAGCAAGAAGAGTAGTCGGTGGTAGTGGTTCCTTCAAAACAGTGGGAATCAAATGGCTTGTTTTATTACTGACCCATTCATTAATATTTTTTCTAGCATCTCCCGCTTTGGTAAAGTCCACCTAAATTTATATTCAAAATGTTCAACATCAGGATAATGAGTTTATTAAATTTCAATTAAGTATTAGATTGGCTAGCAGTGGGATCCAGGACGCGCGTTTCGTCCTATTTAGGACTCGTCAGCTGGATGTACCTGCATTTCAGAGTTGATGTTCACCCTGAGACTCGAAGCCAGTGCCTTTCGCTTCAAACGCCATCGCGTTATCCACCCAGCTACTGAATCCAAAGGCCAAAGAATACATTATGCCGGGAGATTGAAGCAGATATGAAAAGGATAAATAACAACTGGAAAGAACTGGAAAGGATTGCCCAGGAGAGAGTTGGATGGAGAGTGCTGGTGAGCGGCCTATGCTCCTCCACGAGGGGTAACAGGGGTAGTAGTAGTAGAAGTAAGTACTAGATTACTAAATGTAGCCAATTACAGATTCGATATATATGCATATATATAACCCCCTGTTTATCTGTAATGAATTCCATAGTTTTGAATGTGTATCAATAGGCAACAAGTTATTTAAACAAGAAAATATAACAGATTCCAACCGCAGAAAGACGGGGGCTATTTTGAACACCTTCTCATAATATCTATAAGTTTTTCCACAGTAAGTAAAACAAAGTTTTATAGGACAAAACGGCCGTCCAGTGCTTCCAGGTTTTCCATGGTGGTCTAACTTCAATCGACCAATAATTTCAATTATGAAAAAGTTTTATGTACTTGAAAGAGTTAATGTCTATTAGGCAGCAAGATGTTATCTTCATAATATCTATCATTTACAGTTTGTGAAACTGAAGACGTAAACTAGACGAGTTTCAAATCAAAGAAGTTCAAATATGACTCTATATTTAATGTCATGAATATCATTTAAAAGAACTTAACCATTGTTTACGGTAGAATACACCTTTCACATTTAAATTTCTCATTTATATTGATGGTAAATAGTTGTCCATAGTTTATAAATCTTGTTATTAGTATGAGTAGAATATTATCCCTGAAATACCAGTTATATAAGTCAGTTTCTCCTACGACCAAGATTTTGTACAAATAGTCGTTGACCTAAATGTTTATTTAAACTAGCCATTATCACAGTATTGAGTGAAATAGTCGTTAATAGTAAAATTTTCAGTAAAAGTCACTTTTTACAATAATGCATTTGGTTCATTTCTATGGTGAAACACAATAAATAATGAAGTTATTTTCAAAAATTGTCATTTATCATTCTAAAGTTGACTTATAACGGGAAAAAGCAATAGCATTTTTTGGGAAAGGACAAACCAGCTTCCAACTGAAGAGTAAATTAGGAAAAGACGTTGGAAGTGGATAAGACATACTTCGAGGAAATCACTAAAATGCATCATGAAACAAACTCTAACTTGGAATCCTGAAGGGAAACGGAAAAGAGGAAGGCCGAAGAACACACCACGTCAGGAAATTGAAGCAGATATGAAAAGGATGAATAGAAAATGGGAAGAACTGGAAAGGATTTCCTAGGATAGGATTGAATGGAGAATGCTAGTGGGCGGCCTATGCTCCTCTACTAGGGGTAACAGGCGTAAGTAAGTAAGTAATAACGTGAAAAAATTATTTTACAGAAAATCTAGTGTATTTATTAGTTTCTTGTTTTCACTCAGTCTAGTGTCGTACTTTTCAGAGTATGAATATTTTAAAACAGCTATAACTGCTTACGTTAAATACATCATTGTAGAATATATTTTTCATTCTGGTCAAGAAGTGAGGTTTTATATTAGTTTTATTCTGTAAAAACATTCCATTTCCTATTGAAATAACTTGTTTCCCTTCTATTTTTTCGTTTGTCAAATTATGATATAGTAAAGCAAAAGTTCGTGAAGCCAATTTCTGATATTCTTTGAAGTCATCAAGTTCCAAAGCTTCAGCAATCTGAACTTTTGTATTACCTTTGGGTCCTCCTGAACCGAGAAGTGTTGTTAGAAGTAAAAACACACTTATTGGAGATGATAAATAATCATTCGTTCCTAAAATGATGAAGAATTACAATCGTATTAAGACACATTTACAAATGAAGAATATTTTTACAAAACATTTTTATCATATTTTACAGTTATGCGGGTAAATTTTGAATTTTCAATGAATGAGACCATAATGAAAGACTAATTAACACTCAGTAATAATAAAATCGAAGACACTTTATTCTGAGACTAACTTTAGTTAATGAAATAACCTTTAAAGGTTGTCATTGTCATCATCATCATCATCATTATCATCATCATCATCATCATCATCATCATCATCATCATCATCATCATCATCATCATCATCATCATCATCATCATCATCATCATCATCATCATCATCATCATCATCATCATCATCATCATCATCATCATCATCATCATCATCATCATCATCATCATCATCATCATCATCATCATCATCATCATCATCATCATCATCATCATCATCATCATGATTACATAACATCTAGCGTTTACAACATCACTAGTCAACAATGCTAATCAGTAGTTATTCATGTAATAACATAATACTTTGACTGAAATGGGATGGTGAGTAACTACATTTAATTACTAAATAATATTTAGAAGAGATTTTTGTGGAGATTTCAGTATTTTCATAGTTGAAATCATGAATCAGTTGAAGCCAGACCACCGTGGAAAACCTGGAAGCACTGGACGGCCGTTTCGTCCTATCATGGGACTCGTCAGAAGTGCGCATCCACTATCCCGCCTCACAAGATTTGAACTCAGGACCTACCAGTATCGCGCCTGAACGCTTGACCACTAGATCACTGAGAATAAATAACATTTACAGGCTTAAAGAATATATTCTACTCAGAACACATTTAAATCACAATTATCTGAATGAAGAATATTCTTTTCAATTATTTCTCATCAGATTCTACAATTATTATATCCAAATTAGTAATCCACAAAATTGGTCAGGTTTAAGGTAGAGTACATCACTTAAAGTCATAATGTGTTAATCAAGGATCAAGTCGTTAATATTATGATGACTCTAATATGAAGTGTCAACTTGAATAAGTTTATAAGTGAAATGAAGTTGTGAGACAAATCATGATCAGAATAAATATGGTCAATATGGAGTAATAGAAAATAATGTAATTACAAGTTCGAAATTACGTAACATGTAGAATAATACGAATTAACCAAGAACTAGTAGATAGGGTTGGATGCTGAATAAATTTATCAAAAAGGTTAGCAAGTGTATTAATATTAATAATCATGACAATGGTAAGATATGTGGATAAGTTTAGGATATAAAACTGAGCATTAGTCAAATTACGTCACCATATCATAAAATTGATTATTAACTAATCGGGCCAGAAGTTGGTCAGGGTAAAATGAGCAACTGAACATATTTCTTTTGGATGCAAAGCTCTTGTTTTCTTTTTCTATCATCTCAATCGCATTTGCTTCAGCCGTGTTTTAATATAATGGGAATTTTTAGTGGTTGAAGTTAGACATTAACATCGTTGGATGCCGGTTCAGTGGTTTATCGGTTAATTGCTCTGGCGCGAGACTCTCGTGAGGCTGGATCGTGGATGCGCACTGCTGAGGAGTTCCATAATAGGAAGAGACGGCCGTCCAGTGCTTCCAGGTTTTCGATCCAGCTTCAATTGACTCATGATTTCAACTATGAAAATTTTTCAGCTATTAACATATTGTAATATTTTAAACATCGATCAAAAGATAAAAGAAGAATAAAAACATTCATTGCCCATAACAAATAGAACCCCTATATTCTAACTTTTTTTAAAAATTTAGTACTCAATCGATTGTTATAATTACTTCAGGATTATGTAGATGGCGTCGAGTCTCGATTGACTATGATCATCACTACAATAAGATTACGAGGCCCAAAAACGACTTGGTCCCTTTGATAGTTCGTAAACCAGAAGGCTTTAACTGGTCCAGATAAAGTATATTTATTGGCGACCTCGTGGTATCGAAATAATACCGAGACGTGCAAACGAGTACAGGCAATTAGGGCAGAGCGCAAGAAAGTGCGACCGAACAAGGCGGACGACCGAACGAAAAGTGACTTTGATACAGTTAAACAACAACGAGTACGGTAAATCAATCACTGGTACAATTAGTTGTAATAATATTTGTTTCCATTATACCAATCGTGTTCTCGTCGAGAAAAGCAGATCACTACAATTCCCATACTCTTATGTAATTAGTTTTATAATAGACGATACGTTATTGGAAAATAATCGTTGATTCTACTAATCATCAAAGTTAAGTAATACAGACAATCAATGTTTTCTTTTCATTTGTTTAAATTATCGTTTTAAATATAAAGGCGGATTATATAGTTATCATTTTTTAAAAATAAAATAAAGGCATATATATATATATATCAGAAGGGGGTTGTGTGAAGATTTTAGTAATTTTAAATAGTTAAAATCACGGTTGAGGAGTCCCGCAACAGGACGAAACGGCCGTCCAGTGCTTCCAGATTTTCCATAATGATCTAGCTTCAACTGACTCATGATTTCAACTTTGAAAAATACTGAAATCTCCACAAGACCCTTTCTGATTATAATCATATGCTCACTAGTGACTGACTTCAAGATACATGTCCTGGAGTTCTAGTGAGAAGCAGTGATCAGTGGAGTTCAACCACGTCCGTTGTGAGATATCAACTCCCTGAAGACAATTGGTGAATGGTTACTCAACTTCGTGGATCACTTGAAGTTAGACATTAACACCGTTGGATGCCAGCTCAGTGGTCTATCGGTTAAGGGCTTCGGCTCGAAAATGGTAGGTCCTGGGTTCGAATCCAGCGAGAGCAGGTTCGTGGATGCGCACTGCTGAGGTGTCCCATGATAGGACGAAACGGCCGTCCAGTGCTTCCAGGTTTTCGATGGTGGTCTAGCTTCAATTGACTCATAGTTTCAACTTTGAAATATATATATATATATATATATATATATATATATATCGGTATTGTAATAAACAATTAAAACTTACCAGTTGCTGATATATCTAATAGATCACGAGCAAAAACATTATATCTTGGTTCATTAGCTGTGAAACCCATTTTTACTAAGAATAAATTCTAATAGATGCCTTCCTTTATATAAAGTATATTTCTATATAGTTTCAATCAATTATTGACGGACAAATTAGTAAAATATTCAATTTATTCAAAGATCCAAATGAAAATGAATAACCAATGACAGGTAATTATTGACTATAGGAAAGTGTCAATTTCTTGTAAATAATTTATATTATAATACTATATTGTGTTAATCATTAAGTAGGTGTCCCATTTGACAGATGTATTGTCTTTTATTTATAATATAGTTTAATCATTTATAATTAAAGTTTATTAATATTCTAACTGAAGAGATACTCCATATTCTCTTCAGTAAGATTTGGGATGAAGAACAAATACCAACAGATTGGAAAGAAGGACACCTGATCAAGATACCAAAGAAAAGTGATCTCAACAAGTGTGATGACTGCAGATACATTACTCTTCTCTCAATAACAGGAAAAGTATTTAACAGGGTATTGTTAAACAGAATAGAAGGACCTAAATTCGAGATCGACAAGCTGGATTTCATAAGGATAGATCGTGAACAAACCAAATCGCAACTCTGCGTATCATTGTAGAACAATCAGTCGAATGGAATTCATCAATCTACATCAACTTCATCGACTACGAGAAGGCATTTGTTAGCGTAGACAGGACGACACTATGGAGGTGTCTTCGACAATGCGGCGTACTTGAGAAGATAGTCAATATCATACCGGATTCCTACGATGGATTAAATTGCAAAATTATGCATGGAGGACAGTTGACATACTCGTTCGAGGTAAAGACCGGTGTCAAGCAAGGTTCCTTACTCTCAACCTTTCTCTTTCTCCTGATGATCGACTGGATCATGAAGAAGCCAACATCTGGAGGGAAGCACGGGACACAAAGGACAACTAGGATGCAGCTGGACGATTCAGACTTCTCAGATGATCTGGCTCTTCTATCACACACGCGACAACAAGTACAGGACCAGACGACCAGTGTAACTGCAGTAGGTCTCAAGGGAAAAACAAGATTCTCCGATACAACACAACATGCATCAATCGAATCACAGTTAATGGAGAAGTTTTGGAGGGTGTAAAAAGCTTTACATATCTGGGCAGCATCATTGATGAACAAGGTGGATCTGATGCAGATGTTGAGGCGCGGATAGGTGAAAGCAAGAACAGCATATCTACTGCTGAAGAACACCTGAAATTCAAAACAATTGTCAACCAACACCAAGATCAGAATTTTCAATACAAATGTATGTGGCGGAAACTTGGAAAACCACGAAAACCATCATCCAGAAGATACAGATGTTTATTAACAGTTGTCTACGCAAAATGCTTTGAATCCATTGGCCAGACACTTTCAGCAACATTCTACTGTCAGAGAGAACAAACCGGATTCCAGAGGAAGAAGAAAACAGGAAGAAGCTCTGCAAGTGGATAAGACACACATTGAGTAAAGCAGCCAAGTGCGTCACAAGGCAAGCCTTCATATGAAATCCTCAAGGCCAAGAAAAGGGGAGAATCAAAGAACACATTACGCTGAGAAATGGAATCAAAAATAAGAAGAATAAACAGCAACTGGTTAGAACTAGAAAGGAAGGCCCACGACAGAGTGGATTGGAGAATGCTGGTCGGACGCCTATGCTCCACCGGAAGTAACAGGCGTAAGTAAGTAAGTAATGTTCACTTTGAAAATGTACAGAAGTCACTAATCTTCTACAGTAACTATAAGTACTTCATGACAAGGAAATTGTTAGAAAGAAATAAAATCTATAACACCTTATTTAGAAGTGTAATCTGAGTTTACATGAGTACCGTTAATGATAATAAATAACGTTTTTTGTAACACATTCATTGTGCATAAAAAATCACTACCAAATAGTAAAAAAATTAATCTAATCACAATCCTGCACACAGCATTGGAAATCAGGAACTTCATGTATACACATGTACACATTATCATGACTGAATAGATGATAATAAGTCAACTACAGTACACACTACACATCAATGTTAACGAAAAACAGAATATGAGAGATGAGAACTGTTCTGATCAAAAAATATTTTACCCATTTACTTGTGAAACTCATTCAAGTGACTGTATACACTTCTCAAGTGAACTCGAATTGATCTCACTGGTGAATAATATCAATCATTTTGAAATGCAACTAAACTGGAGAACATGGATATTTTGTTTTGTTAACTGAGTGGTTAATTCTAAATGTCGTAATATGAATAGGAGTGTTAACACAGATGATTCTGTTTGTGAAATATTAATTTGATGAATGATTATTTCGAGGAATTCATATTTTCATGAAGAAGACTTAATTTAATCCCAGAGTTCAATAATATTAAAGTTACTACAGTTAAATCTTATCTTAGGATCCATTTCAATCTGAATAAACCATTGATTTACTTTATTTGAGATAAAGTTTGGAAAAAGAAGATTTATCTACTGATAGTTTAGTTAAGCGATACTAATCTCTTAGATTCAGATAAATATTCATATTTCTAACATAAAATAAAGAACAACACTTTAAGTGTATTACTATCATTAATCAAAGATTAGTTAAATGCACTTTTAACTTCATCTTTTAATCAAACTACAAAAATAATATTTGTAAAGTGATTTATTCTTTTCTAAATAGTCGTTACCCTTGTTCATCAAATGAAAAATGCGCAATGACGAGGAGTCCCACAACAAGACGAAATGACCGTCTAGTGCTTCTAGGTTTTCAGTGATGGTCTAACATCAATCAGTTCATAATCTCAATCAAATACAAATTTTATCTTGACAAAAGTGTGAAAAGATTTGACGAAATATTAAGAGAAGAGTCATCCTATTTTCAGTATTCATTGCAGTTATTTAAAGTTATGTAAACAAGATGCTTTCTGTTCTCATATCATTTAAGTAAATCTCTAATTGAATGCTCTAATCTTGGTTTCTCTAGTTTCTTCCAATTGAATTCTCTTACTTTTATATTCTATATACAGTCAGAAGTTAGTTACGATTTCGGATGAAGATCCATCGTTTTTTCTTTAAAATGTGTATTTAATAAATCAACGTTTTATCGAATTAAAACATAATCCTAGACTTATAAGCAAAGATGGATAGTGGCTAGCAGTGGAATACAGGATGCGCGTTAGGGATTTTTCAATATCATCACAAGAATGGTTGACTAAAAACAGTGAAATATAAGTATATTGATAAACTGTTTACATTTTTTATGGAAGTAGATGTTTAAAACTGTAGTTGCTTTGTCTCTACCAAATTTTACTAAGAAACTAGTGATATATAGTATTTTAATGTGTTGTGTAAATCAAGGAAACGGATTTTACCGTCGATCATCTACGATTAAACTCAATATTCAAAACTTCCTGTTGGCATATGAGACCAATAGGTCCTGGGTTCAAATTCCGCAGTATGATCGTGGATGCACACTACTGAGGAGTTCAATACTAGGACGAAACAGCTGTCCAGTGCATCCAGGTTTTCCATAGTGGTTTTGTTGAGTGCGATCCTGAAAATTTCTCGCACTAGACATGACAAGCTCAGGGAACATAAGGAATCATTTTATCTAATCAGTGTTTGATTAGGAGTTTCGCTAGAAGTATCGTGAAAATGATAAGTCACATGTAGAGGTTCCGACTGGCTGATTACTAAACTACTACTATGTTTAATAACATTCTAGAATTTTCAGGAAAACGGAAGGACTTCTAAAATACTAAAAAAAACCCTATATTTTCTGTACATAAATGGAACCTTTGGAGTAAGGTGCTTCTCATATATTTTGCGCCTTTTCTCTTGTGTTCAAGTCGCTGTGTAGTTCTAGCTTGGGGGGTGGGGTGGTAACGAGACTAGCTTAGGATCCGAGTATAGCATTCAATCAACAAGACTTATCAGGTTTGGCTTCAAGTGACTCACGAATTCAACTATTAAATTACTATAATATCCACTACAATACCCTTTTTTGATTATATACCCAGATTAATATGATATTTATGGTAAATAAATCTTAATTAAATTTTCAAAAATCTAAATGGTTACGTTGTTAATCATTTAAAAACATCAAAAATAGGTTTATCTTATCACTATAGATAATGAAATTTGTTTAAAAAACCTTTTTTATTCAAGAGTTATGGAGTAAAACTTATTATGCTACCATGTTTTGTACACACATAATGATGACTGAACTTGAATGAGTTTAAAGTACAGAAATGTTTACTATATATTCGAATTTTTTTTATTTAAGTATTTTAATTTCCTTTGGTAGAATGTAAGTAATACAAATGATAGGACGTTTTTATGCCATAATTTATTCTCATTAAATTATGCACTGGACGACCGTCTCGTCCTATTGTGTGACTCCTCAGCAGTGCGCATCCACGATCTTGCCTCGCAAGATTCGAACCCAGGATTTACCAGTCTCTCGCGCGAGCACTTAACCGATAGACTACTGAGCCTCAATGAATTATAGATTTAAAAATAGCTTTCTTTACTGGTTAGAGTGGTCTGTCTGTAAAGCTTAAACAAAATGAACTAAGTAAAGATGATTTCGATAATGTAATAAGAAGACGAAGATTATCAGAACTATGTGATATATTAGCGCAATACATTTCGAACAGTCTGATCACACATATACTTGTTAAGAACATTTATATATAAAAATAAAAGGTCAACTAAACTGGTAATAAGGTTAAGAAATAGACAAGGATAATAATGATAAAATAATGTGAAAACAACTTGACACCTAATCACTCTGGATAATAAGCTAATATTACCAGGGTAGGTTTAAAGAGAGAACAAACTGTTTTTGAATACACAAAGGGGGTTTGAATTTTCGTATGGCTAAGGTTTCAATAAACCTCAGTATACGCCCTTTTACACTTTTAAACAACACAAAAGCTGAGTTAAGATCAATCTTATGACCTGTTTCGATTATATGTTTAGCAACAGAGGATGATGGATGTTTATCCTCTACTCTTATTGGGTAAAGATGGATAGTAGATAGCAGTGGAATCCAGGACACGTATTTTGTCCTACTAAAGACTCGTCAGTTAGATGTACCTGCATCCCAGTGTTGAATGATCAATTACAGTCCTAAACATCAATGAAAACATTCAAATGACCAATACAAAAAGAATTAAAACTTCACCTTATTGTGCAAGCTAGTGATAATGGGAACTCCTCAGTTAAGTGGATTTCTCGATGGAGTTTGGAGACAACGGTACCAGATTCGAGTCCTAAATAAATATCAACACTGGGATGTAAATACATCCAGTTGACTAGTCTCGAATACAACGAAACTTTCTTCATGGATTCCACTCTTAACTACCACTCATCTTTAATTATGATCTTTGTGACTCAAGACAATATCGAGGCAATACTCACAGGATGTATATATGCCAATATGTGGCAAAATCAAATTCAGTCCTAAGCATCAATGAAAAGATTCAAATAAACATTACAAAAATAGAATCATTTTTAATGTATATATCTTTCATTCGATGAAAAGATTAATTTTTTTAAAAAAGAAATTAATAGAATTCTAATTTTATAGAGTTGAGATCATGAATCGATTGAATATGGACCATCATGGAAAACCTGGAAGCACTGGACGGCCGTTTCGTCCTATCGTAGGACTCCTCGGCAGTGCGACCACACGATCCGAACTCAGGACCTACCAGTATCATGCTAGAGCACTTAACGGATAGACCACTGAGCCAGCATCGAACGGTGTTAATGTCTAACTTCAACCAACTCACGAAATTGAGCAACCGTTCACCAATGTCATCAGTGAGTAGATTCATGATCTCAACTCTATGTAATTACTAAAATCACCACAAAACTCCTTCTGAGAATTCTAATTTGTTTATTATTTTGTTTTTATTATTGTATAGAGAATACATTACATAACCATGAAACAATTATACTCTACAGTATTGTTTATACTATTCGGAATAATCTATTCTATTAAATCTACTAATGTGACAATACTTGTTGAACTTGAATCATTCTATTATCCATCAAAAACTACATTTTATCATAAATGGTGTGATCACCAAGAAAGACATGAATACTGTTCCCCTTACTTTGTTATTTGTTTAACAAGAAAATCTTTAGGGTAAATTTAAAAGAAGTATTCAATAGTGAATGGATTATATAATTCAATTTATATGGTATATTTAAATGATATTGTATAATGTAAAATATTTTCCCTGTTAACATTCTAAAATATGATTATAAGCAAAGATGGATAGTAGCTAGTAGTGGAATCCAGTTTGACGCGTGTTTCGTCCTATTCGGGACTCGTCAGATGGATGTACCTGCATCTCGGAGTTGATGTTGACTCTGGGACTCGAACCCAGTACCTTTCGCTTCAAACGCCATCACGTTATCCACTCGGCCAGTGAGTCCTGATGCCAATAAGAAACTGACCAGTTGCAGTCCTAAACATTAATGAGAAGATTCAAACAAACAATACTAAGTGACTAGTCATATATTTTTTTTGGTTACCAATAGAAAGATTTCTACTCACTGATTATCATAGATTGGAATATACTATCGAACTTTACCAAAAGTTTCCTTTTCAATTCTAGTATTATTTAAAATCTACCATTATTACTATTGGTGATAAGAATAATAATCTATTCACTATATTTGATGTATTCGAGTAGAGATTACAAAATATATTTCCATTTGATTATAACATAATTTTCCTGACTATTCATAAACTCTTGTAGTTCACAAGTAATTGATCATTAGGTAGTAACCACTGTCATGTAATGGAGTATTTCTTATTCCTGATTGAATTCTATTGAACAAGTTGAAAAGTAAACACTTGTCTGGATGACCCGATATTGCGTGTACTATATTGCAGTGCAAAGTAGTCTGTGGTAGTCTACAGGAAATACTGAACATAAGTTTCATACTGTTTGCCACTCGTCATTGAGGTGTACTGTATTCTCGCGGTAACTGATACTACTTGACAGATTTCTTTTCGTCTTACTCTTCTTCACAGTCAGCAACTTAACCACTGAAATAATTAAATATGTGGTAATGCAAGATTGTGGCTAACAGTGGAGTAAAGAATACTCAATCTTTCATATTTACAAGACCACTCACTTGGATATCTCTAAATTTCCTGATAGATGCTTGTACTTAGATTCAAACCCGCTTTCAACCTGTCAAAACACCACCACTTAATTCAATAATTCCCTGAGTCTTACCGGTCATTAACTTGTTCAATAAAAACAGATTTATTTGTTTAAAATCTTATATCAGCAATAGGCATTTGAGAACTCTTATATATGATGATATTTATAAAGTCTATCATTTAATTTTTCTTCATCTTTATAAATGATTTACATACACAATTCATAATTCATATGTTTTCATTTGATTGAAGACAATGTATACAAAAGTATGAATTTGGTGGTTCGGGTCCACAATATGAACATAAACGGACTATCATATTTGATGATGAATTGAATGAAAATATAACTAATCCACTTGTATTTACTGTGTCAAATTGGACTGTAAGTGATTCAATTGAGTGTTATATATATAATATAAACTTGATGTAATGTATAAACTTTGATATATTTATATACGGCCAACTGATGTTTATTGAATAAGACTTTAATCAGAAGGGATTTTGTGGAGATTTCAGTATTTTCATAGTTGAAAGTACTTCTGAGGAGTCCCACAATAAGACGAAACGGCCGTCCAGTGCTCTCAGGTTTTCCTTGGTGGTCTGGCTTTAATTGACTCATACTTTCAACTTTGAGAATAAGGTTTTGTTAACTATTTATGAATCATCAACAGTTGAAATTATTTCACTGTAAACTATCAGCTTACAAATCATTACTTAATAAAGAATCGTTTAAGTCAGAATGAACTTAGTAGATCAATTTACTGAATAACTGTTTATTTGAAAAGAAAATGTTATATCGTGTGTTGTGTGTGCCTTGTTTAATATTTAACTTGATGATCCCTGCCAATCAGAGAGGAGTAAATTATCGATCAGAGCAATGATACACGAAAAACCGTATGAACGGCATAGAACACTACTTGATCCTACTATGTGCCTAGCCCAGCCAGTAAAGTCCAGAACACTAATAACAGCCTCTGCAACATCAATCATTATTCTCAAACATACTGGGTTTATATACTAATCAAACAGACCATATCGTACCATAAAATAGAAAATAACATTTGTACAAGATTTGACTAAATGTGGCTCTGAATAGGGGGAACAGTAATTAATGGACTAGGAATAACTCAAGAATGGTAAATCGTATAATAATAGTCTATGGATCAAAATAAAACTTATAATAAGAGGAACACGAATATGAATAGTTTAGTTACTTGACAGTTACACAATAGGAAATATACACATAACATTGGTCTATAAATAGTCCTCAGAGTTACCATTCATAAATCTCCACGGGATATAACAGAAAAAAAACTATTTACAGTGCTGAATTCACTTAGTATTGTTTGTTTGGATCTTCCCATCGATGTGTTTAGGACTGCAACTGGTCAGTCTCTAATTGGGAAGATCCAAACAAACAATACTAAGTGAATTCAAACTTCACCCCATCGCACAAGCAAGTGGCTATCAGGACTCAGTGGCCGAGTGGATAACGCGATGGCGTTTGAAGCGAGGGTACTGGGTTCGAGTCCCAGAGTGAACATCAACTCTGAGATGCAGGCACATCCAGCTGACGAGTCCCAAATAGGACGAAACGCGCGTCCTGGATTCCACTGCTAGCCACTATCCATCTCTGCTTATTTACAGTGCTGTTTATAGAGTGCGAAATGAATTATACACATTTAGTTAGTTATTAAGCTTAAGACTTAAAAATTATTCCAGTTTACATTTATCATCTACATCATAGTTTTACATTGAATTGTTTGAACAAAAATATACACCATAACAAACAAGTTTTATATTAAATTAAGCCTTTAATTCCTTGAATAAATCCAGTGAAATATATGCTTCGTCGGAATGAAAAATCATGATGGCTTAAATTGTATCTTTGATATTTAGACAAACAGTAAGAGTTATGAAAATTATGCAAATGAATATCAAAAGTCAACTATTCTATTACTAAGTCAATGGATCACCTGTAATTTTATTGACGGTCTTATTATTATCTAAAAAGATTTAGCTATTTCTTGTTGTTAATGTTTATAATTAAATTTAACTAGTCCATGCTCGTGCTTCACATTAATGAACTGATGTCTAGATATATTGTCTACATTAATATTATATGTTTTTATTAATGACTAACAGTGAAATCAAAGACATACGTTTGTTATTGTAAGCAAAGATGGATAGTGGCTAGCAGTGGAATCCAGGACGCGCGTTTCGTTTTATTTGTGACTCGTCAGCTGGATGTACCTGCATCTCAGAGTTGATGTTCACTCTGGGACTCAAACCCAGTGTCTTTCGCTTCAAACGCCATCACATTATCCACTCAGCTACCGAGTCCTGATAGCTACTTGCTTGTGCAACGGGGTAAAGAGACTGATCAATTGAAGTCTTAAACATCAATGGGAAGATTCAAACAAAACTATTTGAATACGTTTGTTATGTTTTGGAGTATATTATTCATTTTAAAAATATCTATTCTTTCGTGTTTAGAACACTAGTTATTTTGCCATTCATCATACAACTAATAGTCAAAGTATCAGTTGATCGTTGTTCGGTCATTTCCTATATTAGGATGAAAAAAAGTTCACTATTAAATCACTGATATTGATCAATCATGTTTGTAAGATTGATACTGTTTACTGAAACAACTTATAGGTTAATATTGTTACTAATCAACTATTTTAAAATCGATTGCTAGATTTCAAGTTGATCAAATACATCCAACATTTGCTGCAATACTAATTCACATGATGAGAAAACACATTTATTTAAAAAGTTCATGTAAAATGCAAGTCCCGGAACGAATATCAACTCTGGGACCGAGGTACATTAAGTTAACGAGTCCCAAATAGGACGAAACGCGCGTCCTAAACTCTACTGCTAGTCGCCATCTAACTTTGCTTATAAATGCGAAGATTACTTATTCACTTAAACTTTGACTGTAATCAAAAATTTTACGACAAACATAGCAATGACATTGAAAACAACCTCAGTATTCTATAAAATAGCTCCTTGTCTTATATCATATCAACTTTACAATCAAACCTTTTTCTAATAATAATGCTAAAACATACTCAATAACAGCTAGTATAGTTTACAAGTACACACTGCCAGGGACAAACGAATGCATTGGAACAAAAAAATTACAGAACATCTTAGTAAAATCTCAGAATCATACAATAAATTCGTTATTAACAAAATGTTACTCAATTATCTCAAACTTGACTATTCCTTCTGCAAAATATCAATCAATCTCCCCCACACTTTATTGTTCTTTTATTTCTACATCAATTATTCTTTGTTCTCGTTTTCTTTTCTTTAATCTTTTTAACCTTCTACCTTCATGCATTTCACATTTGATTAATTACACATACATACTACTTATATCTCTTGACATTAGTAGTAAACATCACAATAGTAATATTTTTAACTAAGAAGACAAAAAAATATCTCGACAGATTTTCACTAAAATCATGTATTGAGTTACATTTATTTCAATCACTCCCTGAAGTTTATGCATTAAGTTAGGATGTCAGTTCGTTTATTAGTTTGTTTTTCCATTTTTTCCTTAAAAGTAAATTGATCAATAAAATTAGAAATAATAATTTTTTTTTAAATTTTTACCTGGAAACAAAAAAACGCAAACAAAATTTTTTTTTAACTATTAGGATGATCTAGCGTTAAATGTAGATGTATTCAATGAAGAATTTATTGTTACATCATTATTGGGTCGATCCCAAATTTCATTAGATTGGTTAAAAATACTAGGTACAAATCAAACTGAAAAATGGAAAGAAGTTACATTTACAGAACGTTACAGTGTAATGGAGTAAGTAATGACAATAATTATTATTATATATGTATATAATATTGAAAACAATATAACTGAATAGCTGTGATGATCTATGCTTTAATTATGTAAAGCCTAAATGAATATAGAATGATAAAGTTAGTAGAAGTTGATTTAATAGTTTATAAAAGTATTATATTAATTTTTTATATATAGTTGAAATCATGAGTCAATTGAAGTTAGACCACCATGAAAATCCTGGAAGCACTGGACAGCCGTTTCGTCATATTGTGGGACTACTCGGCAGTGCGCATACACGATCCCGCCTAGTGAGATTTGAACCCAGGACCTACCAATCTCGCACGGATTCCGGTTCAGTGGTCTATCAGCTAAGTGCTCGCGCGCGAGACTAGTAAGACCTGGGTTCGAATCTCGTGAGTCTGGATAGTGGAATCGCACTACTGAGGAGTTTCACAATAGATCGAAAAGACCGTTCAGTGCTTCCAGGTTTTCCATGATGGTCCAGCCTCAATTGACTGATGATTTAAACTATATATAAAAAAAAATTATGAAAAATCTCCACAAACAACCCCCTATTATGTTAATTGTTAAGTTTTTTTTATTGATGTTAGATTTGAATCTTTGTAACAATATAAAGTATTTTATGAATAAATTCACTTAGTATTGTTTGTTTGAATCTTCCCATCAATGTGTTAGGACTGCAACTGGTCAGTCTCTAATTGGCATATGTGCATACTGTGCGTATTGCCTCGATATAGCCTTGATTCACAAGCATGATAAGCAAAGATGGATAGTGGCTAGCAGTGAAATCCAGGACGCGCGTTTCGTCCTATTTGTGACTCGTCAGCTGGATGTACCTGCATCTGAGGCAATACACACAGTATGCACATATGCCAATTAGAGACTGACCAGTTACAGTACTAACACATCGATGGGAAGATTCAAACAAACAATACTAAGTGAATTTAAAATTCACCCCATCGCACAAGCAAGTGGCTATCAAGACTCAGTGGCCGAGTGGATAACGTGATGACGTTTGAAGCGAGGGTACTGGGTTCGAGTCCCAGAGTGAACATCAACTGTGAGATGCAGGTACATCCAGCTGACAATTCCCAAATAGGACGAAACGCGCGTCCTGGATTCCACTGCTAGCCACTATCCATCTTTATTTTATGATTAGTTTACGTATCGTATATTTTTGGGATAACATCTAATGTAGAATATAAGTGAATATTTTCTTACTCAATATTTTCATATACTTATTAGGAATGATCCTTTGTTCACTTTTTGATAATATAAAAACAAAATATAGTTGTTACGAAGTAATCTTGTTTTGCTGTTTAACTTGTAATACAATGAGTTAGAAGAGATATAAAGTTTTAGATGTCTAATTAGACAATAAAAAGTTTTATGTCAACTCAAAGGTATATATATTTTCATAGTTTAAATGATGAACTATTCTTAGTTCGGCTACCATTGAAAACCAACAACTTGATAGCTTTTTCATCATGGTTCATCACCGTGCCACATGGAATCAAACTTGAAGACTTCGATTGCTAGGTCGAAGGCCTAACCTCTAGACTACTTAGCCAGCATTCAGCAGTATGTATATCTAATCTCAATAAATTTACAATATTGGGCTAGCATATTTTATAACCTGTGATGGATAACTATCTCATATCCAACATCAAAGGGTTCAACTGTTCACAGCTTCCCACAAGAACTCCATGAATTGAATCTAGAAGCTAGTCACTAGTATATATATTTGTGTCGAAATATCAAGAGTGTGTTGAGTTCTCTTGACAACAAAAACGGATGTCACTAAAAACGGTGCGAAAAAGATTTTACTTCATTGGTTTGCTAGTAACATACATGATATGCTCAATAAATACACAAAATTAGTTACATCGAAAATATAAATTTAAAGGAAATACATTAGATATAAATAAACCAGTGTGTCAATTTTTAATCCACATTAGGTATACTATTATGAAGTATATGATAGTGAATGCTGGAAATGAGTTTGCATTTTAACCCTTTCATTCAAATATATCAACAATGCTTTTCTATTTCCTATCTTTTGACAACTTTTAGTTGTACTGGAAATAGTAAGTTGTTTATGACTGAGATAAAATGGTGGTTGGAGATGGTCAACAGGAAACCCTGGACCCGGGTTTCGTGCTACTTGACACTCATCAGCAAGGTTTACCTGTAATCTTGAGGGAACTGGTTCTCCTTGACGGATTCGATCCCGTGTCACTCAGCTTCACGTTACCACTGAGCTACTCGGTCTGCGACCGACCTCCTGTAGGACTGAGATGTAATCACAATTGATTGACCACTGAGTGGTGATCAATGTCATGCGTGTCAGGTTCGAATGCTATCGATCAAGTTGTTTATGATTCGTCATAAACACCAAAGTAGGTGCGGCTTGTGGATATGAAAATTACGGTAAATACAGTCTAATGGTATGATAAACTACGTTAATCAGTTAAAGATAGCTTAAAATATTAAGAAATTCCTTCGTGTATGGTTTAAATTTAAAAAAACAACTAGCCTTTTACTTTGTAACTGATTCTGAAAACTCCTTTCTTTTTCAGACTACTTGCATTGGTCAAAGTTTTTAGTTCAGGTAAGTATAACTGAATCATTGTGTATGAGTTGATTTCGGTAATACTTTTACTCTAGTTCCAAAACAAAATTCAAGGAATTTCTCTATGTTCCATGACTGAGCAAAATATATTTTGGTAATTACAAGTTTTGGAGTTGATATTTAATGGGAAGTATTAAGAATCTTGTTCATGTGTTAGTTTTATGAGGTTCCACCTTCATCATAATGTAACTGTTAATTTTCTTGAACATTTCGTTCTGATTTTAGAATGTTAATAGAGTTGTTGTCATAAAGTGAATTAATTTTATCATCTAATTAAATCTACTATTTATCCATTTATAATGATGAGTAATTAAATATTAGGCGTATCCAATGTAGATTATACTTATGGTAAACTAATATAAGCTGTTCAGCTAGATTTTACTTACTTAATTAGTCTTGTTACTCACAATGGAGCATAGGCCGCCCACCAGTATTCTTCAACCCACTCTTTCCTGGGCCTACCTTTCTACTTCTATCCAGTTGTCGTTCATTGTCTCATGTCTGTCTCCATTTCTCGTCGTAATGTGTTCTTTGGTCTTAATCTTTTCCTTTGGCCTTCAGGATTCCATGTGAGAGCAGCTAGACTTTACATTAGGTTATTGTAACTTAGTGATCTAGTTAAAGTGCATGCTTAATTAGTAATGCTAAAAATTGCTGAACAGTTTGTATATTTACCTAACTATCCCAAATAAAACAATATAAATCTTAGATTTCATTGACAGTCTCCACGGAATAATTTCGGATCAAAGATTTAAAAAAAGCCATATAAAGGTCAATTAAACATTTAACAGTTTATTAACTTAAATAGATTTGTAGGTAACGTTACTATAACTGAACTTTCTATTGAATAGTTGATATATCAAGTTGAATACCAAGTAAATAAATACTAGAGTTCTTCATTTATGTCCCCAAGATATCTAAGTATTAAAATCAGATAACAGTTGTACTACTTATGAACTGATAAGAGACATATTTCTTGTGAATTCTCGAGAGTTTCAACAAACATCAATTCAGTATTATTAATATCATCAGCATACATTACCCTTGCAATTACGAGTTTGGTTTTTTTAAAAAAAGGAACCTATTGTTGACAAGTTTTGATTACATATGGATCGTATAATAACTTCACCTTTGTACTTAGTATGTTCAATATTTTTTAACTATGGATTGTTGTAGTACAACAACAACAACACAAAGTTCATTAAATGTTTATAAACAAAAGGATATTTTACATATTGAGTAATAATCAGAAGGGGTTTTGTAGAGATTTCAGTATTTTCAAAGTTGAAATCATGAGTCAATTGAAGCTAGACCACCTGGGTTGGAATCTTGCGAGTGCGGGATCGTGGATGCGCACTGCTGAGGAGTCCCATAATAGAACGAAACGGCCGTAAAGTGATTCCAGGTCTTCCATGGTGGTCTAGCTTCAATCGACTCATGATTTCAACTTTGAAAAATATTGAGTAATAAGCAAACAAATACTCCTTATAACAAACCAAAATGATGAACAATCTATTCAAATATATGAGATAAAGTAAACAATCCTAATCTGAGTAGATTACATAATACATGTTTCTATTCATGAAAGATTTTTCATGCGAATGGTTATAGAGTGGTTTACGTAAGCTAACATTCGATAGTAAAATCTAAATGGAATGAAAGATATACAACAATACGCCACATCACACCAAGATAACAAGTACCCGTTCATCATTCACTATTGTTCAAACATCATACCAAACTCTTTCAATAATTTACAGAAGAAAAAAATTCAATTGCTCACAGTACGATAACTATGTGAATTAAGTAGAAATTTTGTGTGTAAGCGTAATGCTCAGTTTTTGACTTAAATTGATATATGCCTTGTGGATCAGACCTTTAGGTCAAAGGCTCCAGGTGTGACCCCCTAAAAAAACCATCTTTGTCAGTTTGGACATCTGGGCAGTATCACAGCCCTCACACAAATCTCATTCGATTTGTGTGACGCATATATATCTGGTGCGCCTTTGTACCAACATTTATGTGTTCAAATAAATAAATAAAATAATATGTTAATGTTTTCTATTATCCACATATTCATTTTCAGAATTTTCAGAAAAGTTATGGTTAATCGAGCAGATTGACACAGTTGACATTAAGTATTAAAATTTAACATAAACTATACATGGCACGTCAGTTTACTTGAGAACTTCAACTACTCGTGTGTTTTGCTTTGTAAAATCATTTTTCCTGTTTACCATCTCAGTTCTTTTTATTTATCCCTCTATAACATGAAAGAACTAAGATGAATTATAAATGGTTTTAACTAGTTTAAGTATTAAATATTTTCTAGATAGACTGAATATATCGTGGTAACTAGTTTCAAGCTATTTAATCCTCGATACTGAACACATTTTTTTAAAGTGTAAGAATTAGTCTATGATGATAAAGATCTAGGGACTATTTTCTAATGTTAATTAGTTAAGAACAACCAACAGGAAGCATTGATATTGACGAATAGTTTAAAATCTTGTAATATGATTTCTTCTAACATCAGCACAATACAAAATATCCAAGCATTAGAACAAGGTCTTACTACCTAAGTATCGTTAAATAAACACGATACTGATCGTAAAGGAGTGTCAAAATAAAATAAACTCAAAGCTGCCTAATTACGATACACAACTATTCGTCAGTTTCTGATACGGCAACTTATCGAATAATCGTAAATACCTGCCTAAAACTACAAATTTGAATGGAGTTTATATACTACATAAATTATTGGTGACATTTGAAAATAAATTAGTAAATTTCAAATTCAATTTTTTTAGTGAAACAGCTCAGATTTATTACCCGTGGACTATTGAATACAAGGTAAATGAAGTAATGGTTGTTTTCATTGAGTTAAGCAAATGAAGCTAATCATTTAGAAAAAATCCTTTAGAAGTCTTCTTCTAGTAAGGAGGAAAAGACAACCTCAACTACCTGAATAATTTACTCCAGTTAAAAATGATAGAAATGGGGCAAAGTCATTGCATGAGAAAATCAAATAGATAGTTCATTTTCTACAAACTGAAAGAGTGTTCGGATAAAGACTCATAATCACAGTTAGGGAAAACTCTAGCATATATCAGGTTTGTACAGAGCAGAGTCAACTGAAGCCCAGGTCCATAAAATCCACTCGGAAAAAAAAGGTCAGAGTCAAAACGTTCACCGAAAGTACTTTCGATTGGTTTAATGGTCTCTTGCTACTGGAAAATACGTACGATTTAGAATCTCTTTTAGAGCCTATCTTGGTTTAAATGTCTTTACTCAGTGAAAAACAACAAAACATAAAAAGAAACTTGTTTTTTAAATATTGTAGTATTGTTAAGGTTATCAACTAGACATACAAAAAACCTTGGCGGTCTGCATGAGAATGTGTCAAATGAAAGGAACTGTTTATAAAGTAAAATGACAAAGTTTTTCAATACCTAATAAACTCCAAACGTCATACTTCTGAAGATAAACGAGAAAAATTCAGTTAACTTTGTTAAATAAAACAATAGTGTCTTTGTCCATAAGCCTCTTTTCGATGAGAGATTTTCTTTAGAAGTAATATTACGGAATATACTTTTGACTGTTGAAGTAACCCGGGACTATTTACTGAGAGTATCATGACCCTTCAGATAGAGGAAAGTAAAGATGACCAGATAAACTAAATACCCTAGCTATGGAAAAACTGATGTTAGTATTCGGATTGTCACCTGATCTGCATCAAACTGAAAAACTGCTATTACCATTTCTGTCCAGAAACCAAGATCAAGGAAGAGTTCCGTGAATTGTATACTAATTTACTAGACGGTCATAGTCTAGTAGATCTTGGAAAGAATCATCAGAGAAAACTACTTATCTCGTTTAAGAGGAAACGTTTGGAAAACGGTGCACAATGTTGCTTTCGAAATAGTCTATTATGTAGTAAAACCTATTAACACAAGCGATCACTGAGTATATTCCCTAGGCGTCAACCGATTATGGCATATTAAGCATGTTGATTTCAAAAAGACCAACAATATTCCCATAAGTAGTCTTTTTTCGAAACTGAAGAGTTTATGAATGGCTGGATACATTATATTGTTTTAAAAAACATACAAACCAATGCTAACGTTTATTCTTGGAAACCAAATGATACACGGACGGCCAATACTTGACTTCAGAGTACTATTCCACAAACTTTATCCGATCAGTGAGACAAAAGTAACGAACAAGGACGAGGCAAATAGTTTTATTCTCAACAACCAAGCGCCAAGATTACTCACACAGAACATTAATCGCTTATAGCCTTTGAGTTACAGAATAATCAGCAAATTATTGACAATAAAAAATGACAATAATAAATCTTATTTGTATTCTCCTATAATCAACGAATGCAATCTTCATCTGAACGAAAACGAACAGATGAAATAAATAAGCGTGTCAGAACCCAACTTTACTGTAAACTCTATTGAGTCTTACAACTGAACTTTATTGATACTAGTTCTTGTTGGAATGGTGAGGGCTATGATTCTGGACACAAAATTGTCGACTTTTCGTATCAGTGACTAATCACATTATCAAATACCTGATGACACTCTGAACTCGTGACTTATAAATATGTATAGACGCAACAATGAATGAATGAATGCATCGAACTAAGATGGTCACTGTAATAGTAATTGCCTATTGGTTCTCCATTGTTTGTTTCAAACGCAATGAAATGCCATATATTTTTACTTTTGATATCAATGCAAGTAAGAGTGCTCTATATTATATACTGGTTTGTCGAAATAACTTAGTTACTGGGTACTGAACAATTTTTTAAAATCTCACTTGTTCATTATCTGTTACAACTAAGGTGGAAAACCAAAGAGTGGTAAAAGAGAAGTTTGTAAGCATAGAAACATCAGAACCACATTTGTATACAGATTCTCCTACCTCGTTATTAACTCTGTGAACTAACAACCTAAGAAATTGTGTCTGATTCTTCAAGATGACAATAATGTTCTCCAAAATGTCAAGGAATCATAATTCATTTTTTGAATAAGTGTAGTGTTTGAATGAACCAATGATTCCCTTGTATTGACGACTTTTTTATTTTGCATTCCAAATATAGTAGATTCGTTCTTGCTCATCTAATACTTCTTGATTGAATTGCGTTATTGCTGGGATTACTGGTTTATACTATAATTCCAATACTCTTAAACATCACAACTAGTCATCTTAAGCTACTTATATTATAAAAGTCATCAATCTACTGATTAAGATGATTTCTATTGGGATTTGAAAATAAGACACATGAATAGCGAGCTCAAAAATACCAGTGTTCTTGAAGTTAAGACAGAAGCATGACCTTTCCATATTCTAGATTGTGTTGAAAAGTCTATTGAAAATTGGGTGCAAAGTTTGGTCTTCAAACCAATCAAAATACGTTTTAGATATACTAGTGTGAGACTGCATTTCAAGGAAATTTTCCAGTCAGCATATGATACTGGATAGTAAAGAACCAGAACAAACAAATATTTTCGTTCAGTTACAATTCTAGCAAATTATTATTTGAGTCGCATGCTTACATTTTATCATGACTCAAACCACCAAAACATGGGACCATGAAAGAATATAACGAATCGAAAGCAAAGAAATTATCCGATTCGCACATACTCGTCAGATTATTCTTTGAACGATAACAAATATTATGTATAATTTTAATCAATGGAATAAAAACTAATCAAATGATTTTGCTTATGAGTCGAAAAAAGTTTACGTTGTACACCTGAACATTCTTCGTGCATTTCAATCTACGTATATGTTTACCATTATTTTTGCGCGCTATGTTAAAGTGGCGAAGCAAGATACCGTGTCAGTGCCCACACTGTATGAATTTTCTTCATGAGAAGTATTGTTTTGCAGTTCGTTATGGGACAATAATGAACAATTATACCGATCACTTGTTTGTGGAAATCTTTAATCATCTGTTCACGTTTATTTAGGTCCCAAGTAAAATTTCCGAAACGCACTTCGTTGAAAGATGGTAGGATACCGAATCGATCAACGGTTTGTATTCTAACGAATGAACCTTTTTGTATTTCATAAATACTAGTGGATATGAATCAACATTAGCGAGTGATGACATGGGTCCTTTTTCACACTTTGTTTTGCTTCAGTTAATCATGTTTATTTTGTGTTACTCTTAAGGTGGAATGACGTTTATTTTAACCTCATCATCCTAGCTCTGGTATCCAACATTAGCAAAAATGTAAACAACTGCCTGGTTTTATGTTATTCGGATTCATGGATTGAGGAGTAGTTGAGTATTTCTGTATCCTGTTTATTTCAGTTTCAGTTTGGAAAGGACAGGAGGCTTGATGGCCTGTGTTAGTCCTGGCAATGATGGTCTCTCAGCTGATCCAACTTTCTTTTGAATGAGTCGACGGATGGAGCCTCAACCATGTGCTGAGATAATGAATTCCACTCGTTGATTATTCGATGGCAAAGTCGGTAGTCAGCTGACAAGTAATTCGTTCTGGGCTTGTGAACTTTTTTGGAGTGTCCTCGTAAATTTTCTGTTTTGGAAGACAAGAAAAATGGGGGCATATCAGGTGCAAATTTGTCATTAAGCAATTTGTAAACTGTAATCAAGTCGCCTCTGATTCTTCTATATGACAGCGGGAATAGGTTTAGCTTGGTCAGTCTATTACCATACGGGAGCTTCGCTATTCCGGGAATCAGCCTAGTTGCTGTTCTCTGAACCCTTTCCAAGAGTTCACTGTCCTTTTTTAGGCAGGGTTAGCTGCTTGTATACAGTACTCAAGTTTAGGGTGTACGAACACTGTATACAAAGTCAAAAACGTCTTAGCGTCAAGATGCCTAAAAGCCCTGCGTATGGACCATAAAGTCCTAAAACCTTTGGCGGCTATTGCACGGCAGTGTGCAGTAGTCTTTAAGTCTTGACTGACGATGACGCCAAAGTCGTTGTGTGCCTGAACAATAGGTAACTCAGTGTTATTCATCGTGTATGTATCTGTACCCTGGTGGCCAATATGCATCACAATACACTTGGAAGTGTTTATCGGCAATTGCCAGGTTTGGGACCATTCAGATAATCTCTCCAGGTCATTTTGAAGTTCTAAGCTGTCGCCCTTGCTTTGTATCGCTCTCCATAACTTGAAATCGTCAGCATAGAGTAAGACCGATGACGATAGTAGACGAGGGAAGTCATTTACGTACAGGAGGAATAACACTGGC